GAACAGACTCTGAGGATTGTCAAGGTTAAGCACCATGATGAGCGCAAGATATGGACCAGAAAGAGAACCCAACAGTGGGCTGTTTTCAATCAGTTTAAATCAGCATGCTGTTTCCCTTTTTTTGATAACTTTGCCATTGGCAAGAGAAAATAATCTTTTATGACATTTTTGGTCACCATCAACGTCACCAGCAAAAGGTAACACATGTCTGCGCTGTTTGGCAGCGAACTGGGCAGCAGTTGATTGTTATCTGTGCTAGCATATGCCTTTGCGTGTTCATCACACACAGCTCCTCAGGTTCTGCTGCTCAGAGGTGAAGAGACACAGTAGGAAAAAAAAATCACATGCGCAAACAGTCCACAAGTTATTTCAAACTAACACAATCAGATACCGACATGATGTGAGGTTAAGAAAAAACTGCCTCCTCCCTTCCTCAGTGTGAATTTCCAGTGAATGTCTCCAACGTGTCCAAGCAAGCGTTTGGTGATTGTACGCGTAGGTTAACAAGAATGCTGCATTTTTGTCTCAACTTGAGAAGGGCAGATAATAAGAGTTATCTGTCCTCTGATGTCATGGTCTGGCTCTCAGCCATTATATTCATAACAGTTTACAGTGTAAACAGCACCTGTCAAGTTACAGCATGTCTCTTTGACCCTTGGTGGCACCCTCCAAGATGTCAAATAAGATGCCTTCCTTTTACAAAATATGTTTTCTAACAATTGAATTAAAATGATCAGCACATGCGAAATGAAGACATCAGGGTTATGTCATGCTAAACATCCCAGGCAGCAAAAAAAACTAAAGTTGTTCAAAATCTGCAGGGTCACCCTAAGAGGTCATTTTGCATGAGATTGTGTCACTGCAAGCAAACTGACACAAGTAAGACAATGCAAGCCCTCTCTGCACTCAAGTTTACTTGTCGTCCCCCTGACAAAAGGAAGAATGTGTGGGTCTTACCCAATAATGTAAGCCAGGACCCCAAGCTGGATCAGACGGCACACCACTCCCACTCTCCTGTTCCTGACCAGCACCTGCCGTGGGGTCTCATACTCAAAGAAGAAGTCGGAGAGGGCGTTGGAGATTTTGCTCTTCATCTTCTCTCATCGGCTGTCCCACAGAGGAGGGTCTCTCTCTTCACCCCACTTGCATATAAACACCCAGACTCCACTTTTACCTCCTGGTCACCTCTGCCTCGTCCTTCAGTAGTAGCAAAGGTCCTCCGCCTCTTCTCTAGTAACGTCTCACACGCTTCATGACAAGTCCTGAAGAGTAGGACTTCCTCCTTCCCACACTGCTCTCTCTCTCTCTCTCTCTGCACAGGGTCACTCTTATTTTAGTCACTTGTGTGCATCCTCCGCCTCTTCTCTAGTAACGTCTCACACACTTCATGACAAGTCCTGAAGTGCAGGACTTCCTCCCTCCCACACTGCTCTCTCTTTCTGCACAGGGTCACTTTATACTTTCAGTCACTTGTGTCCATCTTAACATTCACATCACTGTAACTCTTGGTTTTGTTATATACAGCTCACAAAGGGACATTTTTGAAATTGATTCTTAACTTGGTAGTTAAGTTCTTAACTAGTTCAAAGAACTCAACAGCTGCCACGCAAGGACTCCTCTCTCTGTGCAATCAAACCTTATCGTTTCCACCAACACTTCCTGCATGCCAGAAGCCACATAAGCTCAACACAAACACAGTGTGTATGCTACAATTTAGCTTGTTTGCCTACTCTCATGTCACCGTTTGCAGACATTAAGCCTTCTTATGTTTTATCATTTTGTTTAGGGGCACACGGAGAAACACTTTGGGTTTCTCATTCCACGCTCTCTCCATATACTGCGAGGAGCTTTGCATTTCTAATCTTTCTTCTCAGAGGAAAGGAAAGTGGCAAACAAACAATTATAATAAAAGTGGATCATTCCAGTTCAACATGAATAAGTTAAAATATTAAGAATATTACATAAAAGGCTTCCCTTCTGGAAAATGTTTTCCTTACTTGTGTGCAGTGCTTTATAATCTCTGGAGATTAGCAAATGGAATATCTTATTTTGGAATCATGTTTAAAATCCAAAACCAAATCTGATTAAAGCCTGTTTCTGACAAATTAATACATATTGGAAATCGCCACAAGATGGCCATGCCTGGAATTTGGAAGGATTGCAGTATTTGGCAGGATTGTAAGGATTTTGCAAGAATTGCTGCTGCAATGTAGATAATAACTTATGATGCTCTAGTAGAAATAATGTAATGTGTACCAATTGGCATAAACTGATATTGTAATAATGGTTGAGGGCCAAAATACATTTTAATTGTATGTCTTTTTATATTGCCCTATGTTTCTTTTATGTTTAATGAAAAGCATTTTGAATTGCCTTGTTGTTGAAATGTGCTGTACAATTAAACTTGCCTTGCCTTAATGCTGTGAGAAACACAAAATAAATTCCATTCACCGTATTAAATTTGGGGGCAGAAATCTCATAAATAAATCCCAAACTATCTACATTGACAGATGTCACTAGAGTTTAAATAAGCAAGTGGCAGCGTGAGAGTGTGAGAAAGAGCATGAAAGTGGTTGTCTGCAACCTGGTTTATCATGGCCATGCTAAAATGCTGATGTGTATTAGGCATCATCATGTTTGCCATGTTCACCGTCTCAGTTTAGCATGTTAGCATGCTAATGTTGTCTAATTAGCATTAAACGAAAAGTACAGCTGAGACTGATGGGAATGTTATTAGTTTTGCAGGAACCAAAGTACTGGACAAACTTAAGTTTTTAGGATGCATCCTGTAGGGACAATGAATATCTGTACTTGTTATCCACAATCCATCCAATAGTTATCCAGTTATCCGACAGACAGACCGACATTGCCATCCCTCAAACATGTTTTGGGCAGGATGTGATAAGATGTGCTGTGCTACAGTAGGTAGCTTCAGCTATCCAGACAAGCTAAAGTTAATGCTTGATACCTTGGTTGTCAGCGTATGGGATTTCAATGAGGAGGTAAATAATCTGGAAGAAGACCTAAAAGTTGCTGAGGTTACAGCAATGGGAAGTGGTCTGTTCAACCACGTGAAATAAATGCAATTTCAAATAATTACAAAACTCAGCACAGGGCCAGTGTAGTCAGTGCAAATGAATCATTCATTCGGGTTTTTAATTTGTCACAAGCAAACCTGTACAGAACAAAACGATAACACCATTAGAACAGAGATGTTAGCTGGAAATAACTTTGGAAAATGGAGGTTTGTAGGAGCATTTATTTATTACAGCAACGTGTGATATGCTGCAACAGGTGTTATCCACTTATGGATCACCTTATTCCTCTAAAACAAACTGTTTCTACTTTATGTGGTTACAAAGTTACAAAGCATTTGTTGCGTAATTTCCTCTGTATTGCTAAATAACATGTCATTCTACAAAGAACATGTTTGTGCTTGAAATGTTTCCTTAAATTTGACTAAGTTCTTTTTTTGTTTGATTTACCTATATACATTTATTACTGTTGTTATTTCCATTTCTATCATTAGTATTAGCACTATTGTTGTGGAGTTGTTTTAACGGGCAGAAACCTTAAGCAGAACTAGATACATGGTGGGCGGCCAACTGCCTCGACCGGTTCGGTTGAGAGAGAGGATGGGAGAGGGGGAAGGGAGAGAGAGCAGTGGGAAAAGAGAGCACACATTAACACGATGCAAGTTCCACATAGAGATGTAAAATAATAGTAATGGTAGTGGTAATAATACAAATATCAATAAAAATAAGTCTACTAAGTCTTCCTGCCATGGTCGTATGATGCTATGTAGGCATTGTTATTATATGCTGAAATTAATATCTTACGTGTAATACTGGTGAATAAATTCAACATAGTTACTCGACTGTTAGGGAATCACGTAGTATCAATATGATCATAATGTGTTATCTTTTTATACATTTCTTTTGGGTCTTCCAGGCAGATCTACTAACATGCCTAGTACACAGTATGCTAAATCCCCTTATCCATGAAAAGGCTTATCAGAATCATAAAACAATTGTAAAGAGACCAAGTGAAACAGACACACAGACAATATGCATCTGGCTCCCAAGGCTGATTCACAGTCCCTCTGACTGAAAAGGTAAAGCTGTCATATTGCCCTCTGGTGGCTGCATTAAAGATAAGCAACACAGTCGTGAATTTCATTTATCATGGCCAAAAAGTCATAGAAAGTTTAAATTGCCTCAACAAAAACAAATAAAGTGACACAAAATAAATACACAAAACATATATTACATAGCAATTATTTAGGTTTTTGCTTTCATTCCTCAACTGTTGTCAGAAACTTGCATATTAGAGGGATATTCTTGGCAGGTTTTATGGTAAGACTGACAGCTAATGTGGGTTACTTAGCCAGCGTTTGCTTACAACAAATACTGACTGGTTGAATGGAAGAGGATGAGCTAATGCTAATAGATGTCCACATGGACTACTGTGAGTCAACTGTCACTTTTGTTCTGACAAAACAACAAAGTACTAAATTTCAGAAAATAACAGAAAGAAGAGACCTATTGTGAGTGTCATTTTAGATCAGTAATTTTGTATCATTTAATTGTGATACAGTACGCATACATTAAAAGGTAGGCTACATTGCATTTCACTTTCTTTATGTAATTAGTTTTTATTTGGGGATTTAAAATCTTCCATAGAATATGGTTAAGACATGATTTATGTTTGAGGAACGAACAGAGTAATAAGACACTGTGCACCATGACAAACCAATGTACTTTGGCTGTCATGGATGAACATCCGAACATCCAACATGCCTGACAGTCCTTACTCGTGAAATTTCAGCAATTCAACAAGTCCTGCCCTACTGTGCTGTGATTGGCTCGGACTGGTTGACACTGCTGATATTGAAGATAATGTAATAATAATAATACGAATGTTTTAATTCTTTATATCTACAGAGGGAGCACAACTCAATTTAACCCCTTGTTCATTTCACATTAGCTCCTCAGCAAATCTTGTTTTCATAACCATAACTTTATTTAATGAACATTACACTCTATCTTGAACCATGTGTTCCCATTTAGATAAACAAAGGCATAGGAAGCTGTATAAAATTACAAAATAGGCAAAATAATTCAAAGGCAGTAAGTCCACCTTCATAGAAGACATGATCCCTGGTAAGAAGAGCGACTGTACGATGCATTGAAGAGATGTTTAATCCAAATATGCACAATTTCATTTAGACAGGGAAAATATGGATTAATGTATTAAAATATATGAAAAGTTTCAGATCATGTGTTTTGGGATGGTTGAATGAGTTCTACACAGCTATAAACCACTGGTATGCCAAGTTAACCGTACTTCCCATTGTGTGGGTTTGTAAAAAGAACTATATACAAACAAGTCCTCAGCTAATGGGTTGAGGGGCGCAATGGTCCAGAGTCCAGTCTCTATGGAGAGGGGGAAAGGTAACGGGTCGCAGTGGTAGAGTGTCTATTATTTTGGGTTGCTGCAACACACCGCTACAGTTTGAGACACGCTGCGAGCTCCAGACTTCACTCCTTTTAGTTAGCTGTAGCGATGCTCCACGGTTGCTGCAGTTTTTTCTGGACTCTCAGCAGTGAGTTAACGTCTATCCCCAAGCTTCACCTTTTGGCGGGCGACAGAGGTGGGCTGTGTGGCTATGTTTGGCCCAGCATGGTTAGCAGCCTGCCGCAGAACTCGTGCTCGCTTTGAAGCCAGGCTGCTCACACCATAGCGGCCAAACATGTGCATCGCTGACTGCAACACGGAGGGATTTCCCTTCAGCCTGTTGACGGCCTTAAAAAAGGCTAATCCTGCCACCTGAAATTCTTTTCTACTCTGCACCATTGTGGCACACTCCTGGCTCATGGAGTCCAACTTCTGCGCACTGACTATCAGCTGGGGAAGAAAAAGAGCTGTCCTTACAGGGCAATAGATTACTTGTATCTGAATTGGCAATACTGCTAATATTACTTAATATAATATATAAGATGCATTTTTAGAGGATATGCATCATTATTAACGTGTAATTTTAAATAAACTTACCTTCCAGTGTATCATCAGCATTAAGCTCCTCAGTGGCTGCCATAGATGATTCTGAATCATGATTGCAAAGCTCTGAAGTGAGATGACATCCACTGCCAGTACCGCCTTTTTTCTTACGGATTATCTGCTGGTAAAGTCTGAAAAATGTAACAACAACTTCCATAATTAACTCAGACCTGAAATACTGTACGACTTAAACATAGCATGACAACTTGAGAGTACTCAGTCATCATAAATACCTATAGCAGAACTGCAGATCAGGACAGATGGAGCGGTCTGCTAAGGCATAAGGATAATCATCCAGAAGTTTAACTTGCACATCATATTTAAGAACACCAAGTGCTGAGGATGGCGAGTGCCCAGCTTCAAACAACTTAGTGAGCTGCTCTATAGCCTTGCTGCCCACATCCCGGTGACGCACATATTCCACCACATAAATGTTGTGGTTATGAACATTCTTGATTTCCATGAGTATGGGGTATTCAGGAATGTGAGGATCAGTACTTCTGGATGTATAAGAACAAAAATAATTTTGTAAAACAGATTTGTACAGACACACTTTCTTAAATTAACACAAGCATTGCCAAGGAAATTAATTGTGCTTTGTTGGACCTGCTCTGTCGTCCACCGAAGACCTCAGTGCGTGCAAGGGTAACTTTAAGTTTTGCAGGGCAACCCGTATTTTTGGATGGCCTGTCGTTATTTGATGTTTTTGTCCTGGGCTTGATGTTGTGCAGGCACCGGTATTCTTTCTGAAATATTATGGAAAAAAATGATTAGAGGAAGTACTCATCACAAATTTGACTTCAGTTAATCCTAAAGTATGTCCTACACTCTGACTTAACAACAGTAAGAGTACAAACTTTATTACTTAGACACTAAAATGTAGTACTTGACATAATAATGTACAAAAACAAAGAACCATTGTATAAGGTCATTCCTACATCTACTGTGTTTTGGTTTTGAACATTAAAAACTAATTAATTAAAAAGGAAGAATACTCCTGTGATACATGAGTTTGTGGCAAAATGTGTTTAGTTCTTTTTTTGCTTTTAAATGTAATGGACTCAAAGTAAAGCCAAGAAGTCAAGTAATGTACACTACTATTTACTGTTCTGTATACTCAATAATAGTACTTACCTAAAGTAATACAATAGTTACTACTCAAATACTGTACCCCCCCTGAATACAAGCCATTAATAACTTAAAAAACTGCCAACAGATTATGGACACTAATCAGAAATAACTTCTCAACCTCTTTCATACTTTCATATTGGTAGAAGTGGCTGATTAAGAAAATGTAATATAACCAGTAGCCTAATGTTGCCACATCACCAACTCTGTAAAGTGAACAACTTACTTTGAAGATGATCTTTGAGCCTTTAGTAGGCCTACTGTGGTCCACTCTCCATGTAACTGGCATCGACTTGAGCCACACCAGTATCTCCTCCTTTGATTTAAGGCACATCCGTAGGGTGGCTTCAAAATCTATATGGTCGCTGTCCGAGTTGACTGCTTTGTAACTACATACATGGTATTGATACTCCTTTGGCAAAAAGTCCTTCAACACAGACAGCATAAAGTTATTAAGAGACCAAATGAAAGAGTTTTGTTGTCAGATGATCCTCAGTTTAAAACTCTATATTTAAACAAGGGTTTTCAAACAATGTGGACAAACCACTTACCTTGAGTTCGGGGTACTGGTCTATATTCACGACTGGAGACGGGCAGTGAAACCGCTCAGCACTCCTGAGGCCATTTGTCAAATGCTGTACCCTATTAGATACGAACATGCTATAGCCAGCTCTACATAAAGTATTTTAATGCTGTTTCAATTAAAAGAATGAAGAGATTACACCAAAACTATGCGTGACACTTACTTTTCTATGCGCTCCATATCGGCGATTGCACTCACGGCTAGCATCGCTGGCGTCCAATCACAGGGACGTGTGTGACGAAGTGACGCAACAAGCCACTAGCCAATCACAGCACAGTAAGGCGAGACTCTGGGGGAAAAAACAGATATTATAAATAAATAAGATATTTAGATATAGAACATGTATAGAAAATATATAGAAGATATAGACGATATATAATATATAGAAGATATATTCTGTTTTTTGGCTCTGGAAAAAAAACAACGCGAAATCTATGACGTCAATCACCTGCGCCGAATTTTACCACGTGGGGACGTTTTTGCAGAGGCAGCAAAACATCTGCAGTGATGCTTGCGTGTCTGTCGGTGGGCATGAAAATAAACTTTTGACAAACAAGAATCTGAAGAAAGAGCCGCGAAGGATTTGCTAACCGGGTCACTTTTTCCAGACCATGCCCCACGACTCCGACCCTCCTCCGGCTAAAAAATTCAAGCCGGGGTCTGTTTTCTTCCGTCTCGATAAGAATAAACCTGGAATGCTGCTGCCTAGAAAGGGAATTGCAACCACTCCGATAGACGTCCAGCGGAAACAGCTTCCAATCTACCAGGCGAAACCTCAGCTGCTGAACCAACTGAGACAGCTTCACAATGCTATTCTCATAGGTAATGTGCTCACAGCTAACGTTGCTGTGGCTAATACTGCTGCGACGTTAGCCGCTGATGTGCGACTCAGTTAAAAGGAAAATCCACTCTGAAATATAATGATGTTGGCATCTCTGTAATACTGTACAGCAGTAAACACTATTTAAATCATTATTATAGCTTAAAGTATTTTCCTAACTAAATAATTGAGTTATCACATCTTGCTTAGAAAATGTCATTTCTACTCTATATATGTATAGTGTAGCACCTGAACTAGTTCTTGAACTATGTGGAGTTCTTGAACTAGTTCAGATGTATAGTGTAGCACCTGAACTTGACCCATTGTCTGTCATGCATCAGGGGAGACTGGCTCTGGGAAGACCACTCAGATCCCTCAGTATCTGTATGAGGCTGGCATCGGACGACAGGGCATCGTCGCCATCACTCAGCCCCGTCGAGTTGCTGCAATCTCACTGGCAGGAAGGGTGGCAGAGGAGAAGAGGACTCAACTTGGCAAGCTGGTATGCACAATAGACATGTTTCCCATATCACTGCTTAGTCTGGTCTTTAGAATATAGGCTTACTGGTGCCCTGCGGGGTTTCTTGATGGAAAAACAAACAAACAGAAGTTGTGTTTCTATTCATTTGGATGTGAAATCCTGTATTGTTTTCCTTCATGTTTATGCAGTCTTCTTCTTCTGTGCCTTTGTTGGCGCTTTCCTACTTTTCTTGGTGTGTTACCGTCACTGGCTGGTATTTGTAATGGGTCAACCTCATGCGCGCAGTCAAGATTAACAAAACAGGGACCCACTCATAGAGCATGATAAAAATCTTATATGTATGTTGTTGTAAAAAACTTTGTTGTATTCTGTAGCACAAGCTCTTCCAGTTTCCAGTTCAGTTATGTCACACAACTGTGATGCACATTTGACCCGATATAGTACTATCAGTACTTCATCAGTTGAAATCTTACTGGGCTTTTTAGTAAATCAACAAACTTCTTTTCAGGTTGGCTACACGGTGCGTTTTGAGGATGTCACGTCCTCTGAGACAAAGCTGAAGTTCATGACAGATGGCATGCTTCTGCGTGAGGCCATCGGAGACCCCTTACTGCTGCGCTACACTGTAGTGGTGCTGGATGAAGCTCATGAGCGCACCGTGCACACTGATGTGCTGTTCGGCGTGGTTAAGACTGCTCAACACAGGCGCAGAGAGCTTAATAAGATTCCCCTGAAGGTAGGAAGGCTTCTGCTGTGGAGTTTAAGTATCTTTTTATATTCACCTGAATACCAAGTCTTTCTTTTGCCTAATCTGCGCAGGTCATAGTGATGTCAGCCACGATGGATGTGGATTTGTTCTCTGAGTATTTCAACAAGTCACCTGTACTCTACCTGGAGGGCAGGCAGCATCCCATTCAGATCTACTACACCAAGCAGTCCCAGTCAGACTATCTGCAGGCTGCACTCATCTCTGTCTTCCAGATCCACCAGGTAGTCTTCAAAATTTGTGGAGAGAAAACTCTTGTATGAAGTCTTATAACTGGCTAATTCTTCTAATGTATTGTATTTTTGTATTGCAGTTGAATAACAACATTTCTTATTTAAGCACTCAGTTGTAATCCAAACTAAAACAATAGACTCTCTTACCTTTAGCATTAAAAGAAACACAAACCTGTGAGTAAGCCGCGCTCCTGGGAGCATGTTCATGTACTGTGATGATTCTTCTTGACACAGTGTAAAAGAACACAGTGTTGCTGTTTGCACACAGGAGGCTCCTCCGTCCCACGACATCTTAGTCTTCATGACGGGTCAGGAGGAGATAGAGGCTCTGGCGAGGACGTGCCGAGACATTGCCAAGCATCTCCCCGATGGCTGTGGGCCCATGGTAGTAATCCCTTTGTACGCATCGCTGCCCCCAGCACAGCAGCTCAGGGTCTTTCATCCAGCTCCGAAGGTAAATGCAACTATAAACATGCGGGCGGAACAGAGTTCCATATATGAGTAGAGACAAAGGGACATGTTGGTTTCATACACAAGGTCTTGAGAATCTGTGTACAGTGGTTCTCAACTCTGTTTCTGTTCAAGAGATGTCTGCCGCTGTTTTAGCTTTACTTCTGGTTAGTTCCACATAATAGTGCCTTGTTTTCATATTACTATAAAGCCATATGTATCATAGCTTAATTGTGTTTATATTATTGTATACCTCATACAGGATGTTCTACCTTTTTCAGGGATGTAGGAAGGTCATCCTCTCAACCAACATTGCTGAGACGTCAGTCACAATCTCTGGGATCAAATACGTCATAGACACGGGGATGGTGAAGGCCAAACGTTTCAATCCTGGTCAGATGATTCAGCCTTCACACACAGACACACACACATTCTCATATCAGGATTAAATTAAACACAGCATTTTGTTGATGTAATAGGAAGAAGGACCAAATTAATGTAGAACTCATTAAGCTTTAAAAATGCATAATTAACTTGTAATGGAGTTATTTATTACATTGTAAATGATTTAAGTACTTCCTCTACCACTGACAGTAGCCAGCATATAAAATATATACAAATTACTGGCATACTTTAATTGAGGCCCCCAAATTGTGATTATGTGGCTATAATTATGCTCTACTCATTAATAAGATTTGACAACTATTTGAGACCCAGTGTTTAAATCTTCTAACTTCTAACTGTACAAAATACCTTGCAATAAAACCTCCAAACCATAACAGAAAAAATGCATTATGATAATAGCACCATGTTGTGATTTTTATTTATTTATTTTTGGCGGGGTATCGGTCATTTTGCTCTCATCTAACCGTACATGTGTTGTGCGACTCTCAGACAGCGGGCTGGAGGTGCTAGCAGTACAGCGGGTCTCTAAAGCCCAGGCGTGGCAGCGAGCGGGCCGGGCTGGCAGGGAGGACTCTGGTTCCTGCTATCGTCTCTACACTGAGCAGGAATTTGACAGCCTCATCCCCATGACTGTGCCTGAGATCCAGAGGTACTGTCGGCCTCCTTTTTTTCCTTCATACAGATGATAAAACTGTGTTATGTGCTGATCTGCAGGGAGTCCCTCCCACGTGTTCATTTATTTAGGTCCGCGTGATTGAGTGGCCTTTTCTTCTGTTTTTCTTTTTGTGTGTGTGTGTGTGTGTGTGTGTGTGTGTGTGTGTGTGTGTGTACTGCAGGTGTAACTTAGCCAGTGTGATGCTGCAGCTCATGGCTCTGGGGATTCCAGATGTAATGAATTTTGATTTCATGTCCAAGCCTTCTCCAGGTAAGATGCTATTGATCATGAAGTACTGTGCACCCCTGGTCATCCAGGAGGGTCAGTAGGTCGTAGTAACCTGTTTTGTTTATCCCAGAGGCCGTTCGTTCTGCTGTGGAGCATTTAGAGCTGCTGGGAGCTGTAGAGAGGAAGGAGGGGCAGGTTTTCCTCACTGCTCTGGGAAAGAAGATGGCAAGCTTCCCTCTGGAGCCTAGATATGCCAAGGTAAAAGCAAAAGTGCTTGATAGCATTACGCAAATAGATACAGTGTTGTGGGGTTCTGACAAAATGTGTGAGCCTGTAGCCCACAGTGCCACATGGGTCACACACATAACCCAGCAAGAATTTGGTGTAACACTTGCCTGCCTTGTCTGCTCCCTCTCACAGACCATCCTGTTGTCCCCCAACTTCTCCTGTTCTGAGGAGATTTTGAGCATAGTGTCTCTGCTGTCGGTGGACACTGTACTGTATAACCCTCCAGCCCGGCGGGAAGAGGTGCTTGCTGTGCGCAAGAAGTTCAGCTCCAGCGAAGGAGACCACATGACACTGCTCAACATTTACAGAGCGTTCAAGAAAGTCACTGGTAATAAGGTGAGCTACGCTGGGTGAAAGGGGAAGAAAATGTAAATCCAGAAATCAAGCACTGTTGCTGAGCTCCTTCATAATCTGTTAAATGTCTGCTGTTAAAGGAGTGGTGTCGGGAGAACTTTGTCAACAGCAGGAACATGGGTCTGGTGAAAGAGGTCCAGGCTCAGCTCAAAGACATCTGCCTTAAGGTACACAACTGAAATCCTTATGAATATGGATATGAATGTTCTGTGTGGGGCTGGGCAATATCACCTGAAATCAATGTCATAATTGTCACATTTACCTCATTAACAAATGTTTATTGAAACACTGTCTTGTTAGATACAAGATTCTCCATATGTAAGTATTCTTTACAAAAACAGGAAAGTAGGCTATACTTCACATATTTGGCAACTATCAAAATAAGAGATAAGATAAGCTATGAAGAGATGTGTATATCTTTTATGGCTGCTATTATCTCATCCCATCAACTGGATGTTTTAGGGTATGGGGTGACATTATTTTAATATTTACAATTGTGTAATAAACTGCTACATAAGCCTCCAGACTTTTGCCAGGGGAGACAAGGGAGACTCCTTTACTATTTGAGGGCGATTCCTTTTTGTATACAAGGGAGTACTCCTAACCCCTAAAGAGCTAGCTTGAAGCTAACTTTGGGGTTAACCCAGTAACCAGACCCAGCTCCTGATAAATAAAACTCAGGAACTTAGTTCTTGAGGAGCTCTAGCATTTGTTGACAAACTGTAAACTGACTCATGTCTGTGAAGATTCTTAGTCATCCAGGTCATAGTTGTCCTAAAAAGGAGAAGGGGCTGGTTGAAGAAGCCAATCCGATGAGATGCGAAACCTTCCTTGATTTTAAGTTCTTTGAATGTAATTTGACTGTTACATCCACGGCTTACTGCTAACCTGACTCAGTAGGTCGCATTTTAGATGCTAGCAGTACAGACAGCAGATCCATTTGACCCTATTGATAATTAAATACAGTAACACACTGACTACCAGTAGATCACCATTTAGCGCTAACATGGCCTGTCCTGCTTCTTGATTTTACCAGCTGAATTTGAAGCTGGAGTCATGTGGAGCAGACACAGGGAACGTTTGCCGCTGCCTTGCCCATGGGATGTTCGTCAACGCTGCAGAGCTACAACCTGACGGCAGCTACTTAGCTCTGGACACACACCAGCCTGTGGCCATCCATCCCTCCTCCGTCCTTTTCCAGGCCAAGCCAGCATACGTGGTCTTCAACGAGCTTCTGCACACCTCCCGCTGCTACATGAGAGACCTATGTTTGGTGGATGCCGACTGGCTGTTGGATGCAGCACCGGAGTACTTTGGCCGCAAACTCCGACCCACTAAGAGCTAACCAACAGAGAAACAGGACTGAAGTAAATCTCTGCAAGGTCACCTTCCTCAAATGACCCAGTGACAATAAAACTGGGAAATGTCTTCTCTTCACAAAGCTGAATTTAGATAAAGACGTTTATTGATTTCTTACTAGTGCAAGTCAGAACAGAACATTTTCTGTGTAGTAGACTTCTCTGGATTTCACTACCTCCCAGTTGACAAGCTTTTGGCATGTGTCACTGCAGCAGAGATCTGCATATTGAGGCCTCACAACTTTAACTTCCTGCAAGACAGTCATTGAGATTTTATAAACTGTGTTTCTTCTGCCTGATAGTATTTCACTTTGCCATTTGGTTTAACACCTTAAACAGTGTTTTTGAGGTGTCATGCATAACATCTTAACATTTGCATGCATTATCACAGCACAGAAAACCTCACAGGAGGACACATCTTTAAGTAAGCAGCGTCTTGGGCTGATATGATTTATCAGTTTATTCTCTTCATGTGTGAAATTCGCGAAATTTTGTACTTAATTGTCAAGCCACCTACCCAACAAGATTCAGACGGCTCAGTGGAGCAGATGGTGGTTGTTCTGTTCTGCACAGTTTTGAATAACTGAGGAGTTTACTGACTATTTGCCTCTGAAATGTTAGCTTCTCAGAAGCTAAAAAAAGCAGTCTTGTCTTGAGCTTTTCCACCATGTCGTTTTTGGTTAAACAAAGTGGTCTTAAAGGGTTTTATATATGCAATAACAGTAGATTTGTCCTAATCTATGAAGTTACGTAATTACAAAAAAACATGGAAATCACCAAAGTTGTAGTTAAAAATATGAGGTTTTCAGATATCACGATGACTTGATTTCACTTTGATAATTACTCTACATGCAGCACCCGTCTTATCTTGTGCATGCCCTTTTCTACATGATTGTATCACCAGTTTCGAAAATACATGCACATCAGGAGAAGTAGCATGCCTTATTCTCCAGGTTCTACACTTTGCTGTTCTGTTACTCAGCCTCTGTACAGACTACACAAAGATGTACGCTGACAACAAATGTATGCAATGCATGGAGATTATAGTTAAGGATCTGATCACTCAGGTCTTTCATACTTTGTAGAATGTTATGGAACAGATAGGATGCTCCTCCTGTCTTTTTTACGCTGGACTCAGGATTGTACAATATACATTATAACCTGAATAAATTACATAAACAATTTCTAGCTTTTAAAAATGCCAAACACCAAATGCACTTGGGGTTGCTGTAGAGAACTGTGAGACTATATTATAAAGAGGATGTTCAGTGTTTGAATCTCTTACAGGTCATGCTGCTCATGTGCTTTCTTGCAAGATTTCTTTTCCAGTCACAAAGGGAAAGTAGACTGTTTAAGATTGACATAGTATAAAGTTTGTAAGATTAAATGCACGGCTTTGATGAGTTTATGATGAGTATTTTTCACATAATTTGTTAAAGTTTAAAACCACTGTTGGTATAATTTTTAATAAAACTTCAGTCACTGTCCATGTCTGCATGTGGAAAGTAAAGATTCATAGGCACAAGTGTTTGGGAGTCTTGGATTTTCCAGAAAGTATAACTCAGTCCTAATTCCTGCCAGTGTTATTTAGTCGTATTTAGATTGACACATTTCCAAAATATGTATATATCAGATTAACAAACAATATTTTAGTGTGGTGTATGGATGAATTAAACAGAGCATTAAGATGTATCTTCACTGTTTACAACAAATCATGTCATTACCACAATCTGATGACAAATTATTTATTAATAATTTATTTCACTGATTTCTTTTAGTAGGGCAAGATAGGGCATTTTACTTTTATAGTAAAGAGTACCTGGTGATGCTCAGTGCATTCAGGGTAGATGAAACTTTTTATAAATACAATCCTGGGTTAGTTGTTTGAAAATTGTTGTTAGCTCCATCTTCTGACAGCAGGGTGTCATTCCTAAATGATGTGACTGATACATCTCCCTATGCTGAGGCTGAAACACACTTTACTTTGAATGATGCAGCCCTTCCCTCCAGGATGTCCATGTCCACTCTAGCCAGAAACTCATTTTATGTCCGAAATTGTGGATTTGTACGAGACACCACAACAAGTGTGATGATGCGGACCTGATTTAAATGTACGTGTGTCCTCTCGTCTTTTGGGGACAGATGCTGCATTTCCTTCTCTTTTTTTTATCATAGAGAGACTTGTGTTGTTTCAGAGGAAGAAAGACAGCTATAAAACCATAGACGGTATATAAAAAGTATAAAACCTACCTTCTTCTTTATCAAGCCACAGGGGGCGCCATTGGGTATGTTGTGTCGTATCATGACCTTAAAACATATAATTTACTTTATTACATTAGACTAGTTATTTATATGATATAACTGTTGTCATATTTGGGGCCTTCTTAAGAGAAAGGCAATGATTTTGTTTTAGGGCTTTCGGTTTTAAAGTATTATTTCCGGTGCAAAGGTCATAGTTGTGATAGGTCAACGCGTCCTTCCACACGTGTGTTCTGTAATCTTCCAGAAGCAGCAGTAACGGGGAGCCAGCCGGTTGTTGTGAGCTGTCAGACTTATTTATTGTTTCGTTACACGCCTTAATATTTCTACATAGTCATGCTAAAGTCAGTTGTTCGTGCGGTGGGAGCCGCTGTTCGCATTTCTTCAGCCAGCACGTCCACAGCCCGAGCTCTGCCGCTCATCTGCCCGACACTATCGTCTCCGAGTTCGGCAACAACCCGGCCCTTCACCCGGTCCCTCTGGATGCTGAATAACAACGGAGCCTCGTCAGGATACAGGCCAAAACTTTTCAGTTCAAAAGCATTGAATCCCTCAGTGTCGTGTGGATGTGGAGGACTGCACACAGAAGGTAACATTTAGCGTAGTAGTCCCTACGGTCAGAGTAGCTAGTTAGCTAGCTAACGTTAGCTAGCATGCCTCGTATCAGGCAATATTGCATGGAGACAGTGCAACACGCTGAGCTGCTCAGAGAAGACCTCATGTTAAAATGTTTTTCACTTAACCGTGACATTTCTCATTTCTGAAGACACTTAGCCCTCATACACAATTCATTTGGGTCAGAAATTAAACGACCACTAACATTTAACGTTTGCATTCTCTCACTGTGAACAGTTAGCATTCACCTTGAAAGATATGTTAAGTGAAAATATAACGGATAAAGTAAAAACAAACAGCAGGAACAAAACGTTTGTACAAAGAAGTTGTTATTTTGTGTTGTATATGTTGACATGTGAAATAGCATGAGTATCCAGGCTGAGGTTTAACGGTCAACGACTGGAAGAGTGATGAGAATGTGAAGCATATTTGATATCCAATTTATAATAACACTTGTAATTTAACAGTTCATTCTTCTTCATTCTATAAAGCTGAGTTAATTATCAGCCTATGCAAATCATCTTGAAAGCAGTTAAATTTCTACTTTCAATTGCCCAAATATGAATTAACGTTATAAGCTTAGTGATGGCGAGATGAAGCATTGAAGCTTTCATCCAATTGATTCACTGATGGCCCGAAGCTTCATGGTGCTTCATTTGCTCTACTGTGCCATCAAGTGGACAATAAATGTAAAACAGGCAGAGTGATTATAATGGCACCATGGATTTGGTGTGTGAAGCTTTAAAATGAATAAATTAATGAATGATGTTAGTCATGCCAATATATTAAACTATGAACTTGTTAATATGGTGTCTGTCTTTATGATAAAGAGGGTCAAAGGGAACGTGGAAACAAGGGAGAGGGTTATGATCTGAATGTACTTGTGTTACTTGGTTTGTGACTTTAGATAATAGAGACAACATTTTATTCATTTTTACTTTTCCACAGTGCTGGGCTTTAGGCAGTATCTTTTTTGAAGATGATTTTACCTGATTTAGAACATTATCATTAGGGTAATAAGGGGTAAGACGCCCCCAGTTTAATTCTTACAAATCCACAAAATGTCAAACAAAAATTCTCAGCACTTTCTGGCTGCCACAAGTCTAACTGAACTAGAAATGTCCTGCTTCATCACAATTTTTCATAAAACAAGCTGTAGATATAATTTATAGTGTTCAACAAAAATCAAATTAAAAAGTCCAGGATATGTTAATGAGGGTCCATTGTATTTTGCTGCTCCTTTCAAATCATACACCAAACCCACGAACCATTTCCTGAATCAGTCAAGTGGTACGGCCTCGACCACACACCTCACAAAAATCTCCCTGGATTACTCGACACACGCTTTGAAGCCTCGATACGTAAGGACACATCACTACTTAGTAGCATTGTGTGCACAGTATGATAGTGACCACATGATGAAACACAAGCAAGGCATGAGCTATGAGTTGTGCATTAAAGGTGTCAGAGGGAAGCTTGTCAAACCCTGAGCACCCAACAGAAACCTGAGAATGCAGCCTTGCTGAAGGCGTACCAGCTGGGAATTGAGGAGGAAAGGTTCCTTTTAAGAGGTTTCTGTAAGCAGTTAGAATCCAGTAACTCGGGTAAAACTGAGCTAATAAAACTTGCATTGCAGTTGCATCAGGATAAGATTGGATTTTCTGCTACATAAATTTTGCCACAATTTTCTAACCTGTTATACCATTAAAACAGGTGACAAGGCATTTGGGGATTTCCTGTCTGATGAAATAAAAGAGGAGAGGAAAATCCAGAAAAGCAAAAGCCTTCCTAAGATGTCTGGAGGATGGGAACTGGAGATGAACGGCACAGAGGCTAAACTCACAAGGAATGTCGCTGGAGAAAAGTAAGGCTGGCACAGTTAGTGATTATCCATTCTGTGCTGGCACTTAGGCACCCTTACGAGCTCCTGGTCTGTCTTCTTCTTTCAGAGTCACTGTCACGTTCAATGTCAATAACAGCATTCCTCCTAACTTTGAGGAAGAGGTAGAACAAGGACAGCAGAAGTCAGCAGAAGAAGAGGTGAGTTTCAACAAGCCTGACTTTTTTAGAGATGCATGGAAAATGTAAGCAGTCATGACTGCATTGGCCTGGAAACTTGTGTTTAAAATAGAAAACGGCTGATTAAAGCTGGTAACAGTAAAGTATGTACATTACGATGATTTATAATTCTGTTTCTTTTTACAGCCAGAAATTGTGTCAACACCCAACTTTGTTGTTGAAGTAACAAAACAGGCTTCAAAGCATTCCCTGGTGTTTGACTGCCATTATCCTGAAGACGAGGTAACTAAGCATAGACCACATTAATTTATACAGAAATGAACATGTCAGATAATATTGATAGTGACAGCATGTAGGGCTAGGCGATTAATCAAATTTTATTTTCAATTAAGATTTTGGCTTCCAACGATTATGAAAACAAGATAATAGAGTTAAAACGATGATTGTGCTCCATTCCGTTTCGCTATGATGCTCTGGTTTTGTAAATCCAGCACACCCCATTCCTTTACAGTGGTGTCTCTCACACTTCCCTAAAAGCCCAAACTCCCTCTCAGCCGGTTTAGTTCAGGTCGAGTCCAAGATGACGAGAGTTATAACTGCAATAACTTGCTACTCACTGTTGTTACCTTAAGCCTATGCCATTTTACACTGCATAAATTAGCCTAGTGGCTAGCAGACTTTTCCACTACTCATAGCTTAACAAAGTACATTTTATTTATACTTTGCTATATGTTGCTGTCAGCATTCAGGTCAGCCCTAAAGACAAGTTTGTTCAGTAAATACATGTTGTTTCCAAAGTCAACCAGAAATAATGTTAAATAATCCTGATCTCAATATTGAGCAGAATAATAGTGATTATTAGCAACCCTAACAGCACGTCTCTGAGCTTCCTCTCTGACAGTAAAGGTTTTAAGTTTAATCGAAATGTTGGACTTTCATTTTTTAGATGAGTCGTGGTGAAGGAGAAGAGGAGAGCGACATCTTTGCCATTCGGGAGGTCAGTTTCCAGCCTGAGGGAGATTCCGAATGGAAGGAGACCAGCTATACGCTCAACACAGACTCTCTGGACTGGGTAAGATTTGAGACCGTAAACAGTTAATGAAGCTGAATATGGCTGTGTTTAATTTGGGTCATTTAACCTCATTGCTATGTTGTTTTTTAGGCCCTGTATGACCACTTGATGGACTTCCTGGCTGACAGAGGGGTTGACAACACCTTTGCTGATGAACTAATGGAGCTGAGCACTGCCATGGAACATCAAGAGTACATAAAGTTCCTGGAAGACCTCCAAGGCTTTGTCAAGTGTAACTAATGTTAAATATCAGCTAAAGTTCACCGCTCTTTGATACACATCCTGGCAAAGTTGGAGGTATGATAATACAGCAAGACTAAAGCAAAGGTTGCAGCACTGAATGATTGATTGATTGATATCTTTGGCACTCTAAAGAGATCGATTGTTCCTTGCTTCAGTGTCTGTGGCAGTGAGCCATGTTTCCCAGCAGTTGTCACATTAATACCTGGCTACAAATGTTTTCTCTTTGTTAAAATATGTTTATTTTTCTGTAACTTTAAAGGAGGTAGTTAAATTAAATATTTGAAGGACATAAACAATGCAGGTCATGACAATGTGCAGAAACCATCATTATAAGAAGTGTCTCTCTATTGTAGAGGTCCTGTCTTAAAGCTGGGGTAGGCAATTTATTTCAGAAGCTTGTATTTGTTATATTTGTTGAAATTCTCTTTAGATCTTGACAGCAATCAATAAAACAGATGCCCACACACAAATGAACAAAATCCACTGTCTGTGGCTGTCACTAAGCACGGACCGAATGAAATGATTGGCTGGCCTGCCTGCCGTCTACCTGCCATACCACAGTATGCCTGTGCATGCATTGCCCATGATTTTTATTTTATTTTTTTTTTGGGTGGGAGTGGCTTTGGATAGAGGCCTGAAAGGAGGGGTTGGAATTTTTCCATTGGATACTTTGATAATCTTGGTGTCTCTTGTTTGTTTGTCAAAGTTGCCTACCCCAGCTTTATGTGCAATGGATTGATATGATCCAGTCAGTATTTGTGAATGTTGAACTATCCTAAAGCCAATAAACGGACAATTTGTCAAGATGTGAAGTCAAATCAAAACCTTGAATAATGAAACCCTCCTCACTTACAGTAGACGTATGTGAAGGCTTCTGGTTTTACAACTTGACAGTCCTGCTTTTTGTCTTAAGCGCTTCTATCTGGCTTGGCAAGCGAGTTCATGTTGACTAATATTGATTTGACTCTATCAGGCCAGAACAATTGGTGTCAAAGAATGAAAGATCAATGTCGAATAAAAAAACAGTTTGATATAAATAGATGATTTTATGTGTCTTATGTGCCAGGTCAAACAGACTATCAGTTGTTACAGATGGTGTATGAAATGCAGAAGTGGCCAAATTGCATTTATTAGAACCCAGCGAAATACTAAAACCGGAAAAACTCTATGAATTTAGCCTAATTGGAGTCTGTGGATGTTAAGTACTGAAGCATGGCCAGTATCTTCTCTAAATGTTCAATTTGCAACATTTCCCTGTCAATCCTGGGTAAGAGTAAAAACAGGATATGTTGCGTCCCTGCTGTGACTGGAGTTTTTCCAAGCAATCTGTGTGCAAAAAACCTGCACATCTTTCTGTTTCACAAGGACTTGCAACACTGGGATGCTCCCTTTTTAAAATCTATTTTTCTTTATTACCTTTAGAAAGAATTCAAGGCTTCAAGCCTAAAGTGGCTTTTTTAACGGGTCCAGGTCCAGTCAACCTTTCATGAATATGCTTTGAACAGCCAGCCCTTGCAGCAATGACCTTCTGAAGCTTACCCTTCTTGTGGAGGGTGTCAGTGAGTGTCTTCTTGACAACTATCAAGTGAGAAGTCTTCCCCATGATTGTGGCTGTTGTAAACTGAACCAGTACTGTCTCAATGTGTATATAGGCACCTGACTATTGTTTTAAGACCGATTTGAACATCTGTTAACCTATCCTGCAAATATAGTATGCTACTAAGTAAATGTACTTAGTTTCTTTCCACATCTGGCTGCTTGAAATTAAAAATGGTATGCTCTCAAAGAATAGCCTACTAATCACTGTAGGCCTACTTTATTAATATGAATAGAACGTAAACCTGAAGTATTACAAAGTAGCCTATGCCATTTTATGTTGTAGATATCAGACACTAATTAGGATTGGTCAATTAATTACCGTCCACAGTGATTGGTGGTAAGGAGGACTTTACCACCATAGGGAGTTGACATAATGATAGTAAGCTATTACACAACAGTCCACACACATTGTTGTCCAGAGCAGTGCTGGTGAGGGAGACTGTTGTCTCTCAGCTGACAGATGAGGAGCCTCACTGCACTCAGCGAGCGGCACTTGTTTGAGGACACATTGGAATATCCGGGGGGAGGAGGAGGGGGAGTCAGTTGAGGCGAAAGTTCACTGTTTGGCGGACAGTCAATAACTTAATGAAAACGCACCATGGCGTGTGAAGGGAGAGTTTGTTCAGCCGGACAGAGCCAGCTCCATGTCTCCTCAGACTCTGACTCGGAGGCGGAGGGGGGAACTGCTCGGGTGGCCGGAATCGGACCGTCCGCCGTCTCCTTCCCCTGCACCCAGGTCATCCACAGCGGTCACTTCATGGTGTCGTCGCCCCACAGCGACTCTGCGCCGCGCAGGAGGAAAAGCGGCGAGTCTCTGAGATATGACTTTGACACGGTGAACAGGACTTGGTGCCAGACCTACCGGTACGGCCCTCTCAGCTCCGGGAGCCTGAGCATCGACCCCACTCTGAACCGCCTGTTTGACTGCATGTCCCTGGCCTACAGGTGGGTTCCTTATATCTAGCTAAGGGCAGGAGGATAAACCCACCTATGATCAGTTTACGTTCGCTGCATCAAAAGGATCAGCCTAAGCCCCATCAGTTCAAGCGGTGCACCTTTTCATTTGCAGGAAGATCTATAAATAAGTGCTCAAAAACGGGTACATAGCCTAGATTTTGAACGCTCATGCATCATGATGAAGTAAGATCTAGAGACCATATGGAAGTCTTCTGATTAAATGGTATAAGGGGGTATGCTTTATTTAGAAAAATGAACCTGCAGGCCATAGTTGGTAGACCTATTTCTTTCCCCCCTGCAGTGATGCCCCTGGTAGTTCATAATTTACATCTGTGTTAATGAGCTACAAACTGCTTACTGTACACAGAGAGCTCCACATAAAATATATGTATTCCAGCAGGTTTACCTTTAACTGATAGGGTTGGGCTGTAATGTGTGTGGATGCGTTGGATTTCGCAGTCTCTTGCGCAACAGCTTGGAAAATCTTCACTGAAAAGTGGACTTTGATTCTAGTTGGCACCACTGAAAAGATCACAGTGTAACTGAGGGAAAGGAGAAAAGATCCTGAAACGATGCCCCTGGCTTATTTTTAGAAAACGGTATCTTGTTGCTGTGACTTTACCATGTTTATTTAAGGATAAGTGCTCATTATTATAAGTTATTGCACACAGACACTGTAAAATTAGAAGCAACATCCAAACTAGCATTTTAGTTTTATTCGGTGCTATGTTTCAAGTACAAGTGTTTTTGAAGTTGAGCTTGTTGCTCTTTTTTCTGATTTAATAAAGCAGCATGACAGAGTGACAGACATCCTGAACAAACCCTGAAAAGGAATAACTTGTTCTTGCAGGAATGTCTTTCTCTTTTACTCTTTTAGTCTGCCTTTAACAGCTTGTTTATAAGAGTTGCCATCAACCTTTGACTCAAAGAAGACATTTCTCCTACCAGTGACTGTGTGCCAATTTTGTATTTTTTTATAGTTTGATGATAGTTGTGCAATAAACCCTGAGCCAGGCATGGTTACGAGTACAACAGATCTTTACAATGTAATATACATTTGTGTGAAGGGCTTTGACGTGACGCACAGGAACAACTTCAAAAATACATACTAAGCATGATTTTTTTATTGCCCTTTAATGCTATATGTAAAGTACACATAGTATTATGTGTAGCAGGTAGACTGTGTTTGTGCAAACTACTGCTCTGCTGCACAATATTTGTCATTAACCATTAATGGGTTCTCCTCATAGGTGATATTCAGTAATATGCCGTCTCTGCTAATGTGGAGTGTGTGACATGCAGCAATGTAGCACACCATTAAAAGCATGTTGAAAATAACCCCCTAGGCTTCCTAGCAACTCCCTGAGCACATCTCATTAAGAGGCTTCTTCTCAGCACTCAGCAGGCTGAGGGACACTGGGAAAAAAAGTGCAAACAGCCTGGCAGTGCACTGGTGAATAAGCTGATTGGGCACTATTAGTCAAAGTCAGGACAGAAGTCCCTCTGTCTTTGTTTGAAACAAAATGGGTGGAAAAGCACTGCATTAAACATTGGCCATTTGTCTTAAACAAATCAGATATTTTAATCAAAGGTTGACAAAACAACAAAAATGTGATTGTGTTTTTTTTTGCAGTGGTAAGATAGTCTCTCCCAAGTGGAAGTCTTTTAAGGGTCTGCGGTTGCTGTGGAGAGATAAGATCCGTCTGAACAATGCGATCTGGAGAGCTTGGTTCATTCAGTGTGAGTCCACCGCTCTTCTCCTCCTCTCTCTGCTGCAGAGATTAACATCTCTTTAACATCTCTCTCCACTAATAATGAAGATGGGCACTACTGCCAAACACAAGAGAACTTATTAGACAAGAAATCAAAAGAGAAGAACAACAGCAACGTGACTGAATAGAAATGAGCTGAACAGGAAGCCACTTTCCCCAGCTGTGTTCATTAAGACACCATAGTCAATAAAAATACTTTTTTGTTTCTGCTCAAAGAGCTACACATCTGTTCAATTTGTTGCCCTGTATCTGCTGTGTTTAGATGTGGAGAAGAGGAAGAACCCAGTGTGTGGGTTTGTCACACCGCTGGAGGGCTCTGAAGCCGATGCTCATCGAAATCCTGAGGTGAGAGGTTTGTGTCACAGGGGAATGAATTTTTAAATCGAATCAGGCACACAAAAAACATACTTATACACGGCAAACAGATATAACGCATACATGATTTAGTGTACACTGATGAGGTAGGATATGTGCATGATTACTCTGTACAGAAAGTCTTATGCTTGGTATTTCTGCATCATGTCAACAGGCAATTGTATTAGAGGGCAGCTACTGGAAGCGAAGGATTGAGGTGGTGATTAAGGAATATCACAAGTGGAGGATTTACTATAAGAAGAGGGTGAGCACTCATTTATTACACGGTTCTTCTCTTTTATATTTCTAGCTATGCTAGAGACATGGCTCTGTGGACGGCAATGTTGGTTTGTTAGTTGGTCCTGACAGAAATATGTCAACAACTACTGGTTAGATTGACATTTAATTTTTTAGAGACATCCATGGTCCCCAGAGGATGGTTGCACACTCATGGACTTTGAGACACATTCCCTGGTAAGTCTTTGAGGGCTTACGGCTTCTCCACTGTGAAATTGTCAAGTGCATGAGTGCCGTCTCGCAGACGTTTTGAGCCCTTTATACACACTTTCTGTACGTCCGCATCTCTGCAGACTTGCCTGAGTTTATACCGTTGTGACGTCAAACACAGGGTTACCAGGGGAAGCTGGCGTTAAAAAATTATAAACAAACATGGACAGAGCAACTACAAGAAAAAAGAAGTATATGATGCTGTTTTGATAAAAACAGGTAAAGTGACGTGCAGATCAGGCACAGCTGATCTGCACGTATTCCAGGCTCTCTTAAGTGCCTCGGCCATGAACAAACTAAAAAATGTAACACATAAAGTTCTTAACCCACAATTATACGTAAAATGTTTTGGCCTCTTAATGTGATGTGTTTGCAAAGTGCTGTCCCATTATACCTTTTCAGGCCCTTGCAGCCACTCGCACTGAAGGACTTACCAGGTGACGTTCCGGGTCTAGGCTTCAGGGTGGAGATTGGGATTGAGCTGATAAATCCTACTGACTTTGGAAATAGATTCCCTGACTTTTGCTCTAGCGCCACAAGCAAGCTGACATTTGTGGTGCAGAGTGGAATATCTTGATATTATTGGATGCGTTAAAATGCTTAAAAGTTTGCTGCCGATATATCCCAGGTCTGTAGAGGATAAATTCTAATGATATCCCCTGACCTTTCCAGTAGCGGCATTAGCAGGTCAAAGTTATCCTAACAAATATCTATACATCTATGGCACCAAAATTTGTACAGATGTTTGCTGTTCCCAGATGAGATATCCTAAAGAGTTTGATGAACCCCCGGCTTTTCCTCTAGCGCCACCATGAGGTTCACTTTTGTGGTTTTGAGTGAAACATCTCAGTAATTGGATGGATGGATTGCCATGAAATCTGGCACTCATGTTCAAATTCCTATTACTGTCCAGTACTTAAGATTATGACCATATACCTACAAATCTAATGACATTTCCATCAGCCTCAGCTGTATTTTGTATTCAGTGCTGATTAGTAAATGTAAGCATGCAAAATTGCTAAACTAAGATGGTGAACTTGGTAATATAGCTGCCTTTAGTCTAGTTTATTTCCAAATCAAACTGAACGATGTTTCTCCTCTTTTCTTTTGCAGCTTCAGAGCAAGAAACATGACATTCTATCAATGCTGCAAGAGGTATAACACAAGTCCTGCTTTAATATTATTCCATTGTCTATCTCTTTCTATACTATTTTGACCTGAAACTGAAGTTGGCCAATTGACCCAGGCTTCAGTTTGTGTGTTGGTGACCTGCTGGCATTGTTGACTTTTGAATGCAGTTCAACATAAGATCATCAAAGTCCTCCTAGCGGCTATTTTTAGCACATGGATATAGCCTCCCTCGGTTAACAAGATAGGATGGAGAGAAAAAAGAATCAGAAATGTGCAAAACAACTTGCGTCATGGCGTAGCATTTGTAGGCAACTGACACATATTGATTGCCAGCAATGACAATGCCTCTAACAACCCTTCAGGCTTTATCTGTATTCAGGTAAATAGCTGCAGAATTTAATCAAATCTGACCTACTTCTAGCAGCGCTTTGTAAAATCTGAGCAGAAGAGGGGCAACGAGTATGACAGTGACGTCACTGTGGCAGAAAAAAAACAAAGATACGGGGGGGGGGCAAAGAGAAAGGCAAAGAGAGGGAGGGACCCTGGGGAAGCACCTCATTCATGCTAGTATTCACATGAGAATGTGACATGTGCCCTTGCAAATCTAGCCCACTGTGCGACCTGACTGAGGTCAAAATTAAGACCACTGCAAATATAATGTCTGACCGTCTGTCTGTAGTCCAAAACTGTTCTTGTGTTGTGCGGCAATTCAAAGGGCACATATCACCATATAATCGACAGGTCAAAGTGTTATCTCGCCTTTGTCATAACTGATTGCATCCAGTGGGTGGGAAAAAACACCTCAGCAGAAGCCTGGGGTTGTTGTTGTTAGGTTAATGTTTAGGTCATATAGTTTGTAACACTTCTCAGCTCTCGGAGCCGCAATCAAAATTCTTACTGGATTAATCATTTCCGCATTATCTAAAAGTAGCATTATCTGCTTTCACCAGCCATCGTTTTACAAGAGCATGTTGTGTGCAGATGTCATAGATTCAAATGACGTACCACACTGTCAGTGCTTACATTAAAAATCTCAGTCAATCAGTTTGAGAGTGAAACAAAGTCCTGCCAAGTTACCAAATCAAGTCATTAATAAAGGCAATAGCAGGGAAATGGGTGGACATGCACTGTGAGAAGTCTGTACTTTGATAAAGATAGAATAATACTATAGATTTTTAGCAACACAAGGGGTTTGGCCATAAAGATGACAATGTCCTACAAGGTCCAGGCTATAGTATCTCAACAACTACTGGATGTAATGATCCCCCGAGGATGTATACCGATGATGCTCTGACTTTTCGTGTAGCGGTGGAGTCTCGTTTAGCTTCATTGAATCTCTATTAACCCACTTCTGCGTATTTTACTCATTTACAGTGTGTACAGAAAGTATTCAAACCCCTCTAAATTTTTCACTCTTTGTTTCATTGCAGCCATTTTCCAAAAATCAAAAAAGTTCATTTTATTTCTCAGTAATGTACACTCAGCACCCCATCTTGACAGAAAAAAACAGAAATGTAGAAATTTTTGCAAATTTATTAAAAAAGAAAAACTGAAATATCACATGGTCATAAGTATTCAGACCCTTTGCCGTGACACTCATATTTAACTCAGGCGCTGTCTATTTCTTCTGATCATCCTTGAGATGGTTCTACACCTTCATTTGAGTCCAGCTGTGTTTGATTATACTGATTGGACTTGATTAGGAAAGCCACACACCTGTCTATATAAGACCTTACAGCTCACAGTGCATGTCAGAGCAAATGAGAATCATGAGGTCAAAGGAACTGCCTGAAGAGCTCAGAGACAGAATTGTGGCAAGGCACAGATCTGGCCAAGGTTACAAAAAAATTTCTGCTGCACTTAAGGTTCCTAAGAGCACAGTGGCCTCCATAATCCTCAAATGGAAGACGTTTGGGACGACCAGAACCCTTCCTAGAGCTGGCCGTCCGGCCAAACTGAGCTATCGGGGGAGAAGAGCCTTGGTGAGAGAGGTAAAGAAGAACCCAAAGGTCACTGTGGCTGAGCTCCAGAGATGCAGTCGGGAGATGGGAGAAAGTTGTAGTAAGTCAACCATCACTGCAGCAATCCACCAGTCGGGGCTTTATGGCAGAGTGGCCCGACGGAAGCCTCTCCTCAGTGCAAGACACATGAAAGCCCGCATGGAGTTTGCTAAAAAACACCTGAAGGACTCCAAGATGGTGATAAATAAGATCCTCTGGTCTGATGAGACCAAGATAGAACTTTTTGGCCTTAATTCTAAGCGGTATGTGTGGAGAACACCAGGCACTGCTCATCACCTGTCCAATACAGTCTCAACAGTGAAGCATGGTGGTGGCAGCATCATGCTGTGGGGGTGTTTTTCAGCTGCAGGGACAGGACGACTGGTTGCAATCGAGGGAAAGATGAATGCGGCCAAGTACAGGGATATCCTGGACGAAAACCTTTTCCAGAGTGCTCTGGACCTCAGACTGGGCCGAAGGTTTACCTTCCAACAAGACAATGACCCTAAGCACACCGCTAAAATAACGGAGTGGCTTCACAACAACTCCGTGGCTGTTCTTGAATGGCCCAGCCAGAGCCCTGACTTAAACCCAATTGAGCGTCTCTGGAGAGACCTGAAAATGGCTGTCCACCAACGTTTACCATCCAACCTGACAGAACTGGAGAGGATCTGCAAGGAGGAATGGCAGAGGATACCCAAATCCAGATGTGAAAAACTTGTTGCATCTTTCCCAAAACGACTCATGGCTGTATTAGATCAAAAGGGTGCTTCTACTAAATACTGAGCAAAGGGTCTGAATACTTATGACCATGTGATATTTCAGTTTTTCTTTTTTAATAAATTTGCAAAAATTTCTACATTTCTGTTTTTTTCTGTCAAGATGGGGTGCTGAGTGTACATTACTGAGAAATAAAATGAACTTTTTTGATTTTTGGAAAATGGCTGCAATGAAACAAAGAGTGAAAAATTTAAAGGGGTCTGAATACTTTCCGTACCCACTGTACCTCTCATCTCATCCAACGTCACCTCTGCTTATCTCCTCTCATTTCACATTAAGATAAATGTAATGTAATGTACCACCTATTGGCAGGAAACCCCTCAAAATGTAAATAATGCCCATCGGAAGTGCGAAATTGCTAGGCGCTCATATGCATGTATATTTTTTTCTTCACCGAGGCAGCAGCAGTTTGTGTTGTTAGGGGCCTCCTGTTTACCCGCACGTGAGTGTGACTGCCAGAATTAGGTCAGGGACAAAAGGCTGCTGCTTTTATTGAAATGGTAAGACATCAAAATAAAGAAATGAACAAAGCCGACATAATGATAACCTGTAAGGGACTAGTGTTTTTTAACAATATGTCAAAACTGCTTTTTCATCATGCACAGCACACACACACACACGCAGGCATGCATATGCACACAGCAATCTTACCTCATTTCTACTTGTACACTTTCATTCTTCCTCAAAGAAAACAAATCGAGAGGTAAATGAATAAATTATAAGAGGGGGTGTTGTGTGCTTAGACGTAATCAAAGCAGTTTCCGGCTCAATCTGGGCTTCCCTATAAATGTGGCCTCACACATAGGAGTGCAGGGTAAAGACAAGCAGATCAGGGTGAAGCAAAGCATCTCAAACAGAGGGAAGAGAGCGGCCTAGAGCTTCAGTTTCTGTGAGTCCTGTGAGTTGCTGGGTTTTAAGAAGAGAATGGGCACTTGGGAAAGTTTGGCATTGCATATTTCTGGCTGGCTGGTTTTCTACAAACTAGAGGAGACACAACTGCTATATGTGTGTCATTTTATTTTTGTGTATATGGATGGAAATAGTGTTGTAGTGAGTTTGCATTTTTGTATACTTGATTCTATCTAGTATCTAATCATATGATATAGCTTTTTGGTGTTTATTTATATATTATATATAGTATTTCTCAGTGCAACAAACCTGACTTTTCTGGGAGTCTTTACCTTTTCAGTCTTATTTGTTTGGAGCCCTCTAATGGATAGAGCAGGGATTGAATGACCACCAGAAGTAGATTTGACGTGTTTTTAAACTGATGTGCTCCAGGGTCAGATCTGCCAGGCCAAGCTGGAGAAATGGTCCAATCAGATGTACCAGGAGCCCGAGGCTGCTCCCGTGGAAGCCCACATGTTTGACCTGGACTGCCTTCTGTCCGACATCTCCGACACACTGTTCACCATGACACAAAAGCCGTGTCCATGGGCCAGTGACCGACACGACAGTGAGTAGTCAGTGCTCTGAATTTTCAGAGTGACTTTCAGCTGTGACTTTTGCTCTGGTCTCAAACCTGTCTCAAATGCAGCATCGAATGATTGAAAACGGAAAAAGGATGCCTGTGAGCTGCATGATGAGATTAAATTGTGGATTTATAATTTCGATGCATCATTTGCCAGAAAATAAATTCCGGGGTGTACTATATATTAATTTTTTATCAAATAGCTGTCAAACCTCATAATCCTAGCTTCCTGCCATCTCTGCCATGACCAGGAGCTCAGAGGACAGAGTCAGTCAGTGTGTTTTTTGTTTTTGTTTGTGCTCTTCTTCCTGGTTTGACATGGACACGATCATCAGGATTTAACATTGTGTGAATCAGAATCAGACCACAGTTGTGGGGTTGCTGCGTATGTTGCCAGGTTACTGGGGGAACAGCTAGCTTGGCTCTGTCCAATAGGTGACACCAGCACCTTCTAAAGCTCACCAATCAGCACCAGAGGTGTTCAGTACACCTGCGAACAAATCTTTAACACTGAATTTAAACTAGAACAGACTATACAGAAAAACTGTCACTGACCGAATCAGTGAATCACTTTTAAAAACTGAACAAACTACAGACTGTAGTTAGTGACGGCACATCTTTGAACTGGGCTGACCAAAGTGTTTAAAGTAAGCAATGTGATTCATAAATTTCAGCTCTACTTCACTACATTTATTTAACAGTTTTAGTTATGAGTTACTTTCAGAGGCAGATTGTACAAACAAAACATGTGACCAGAATATAAAATATGATGCTGTGTACCCATGCATAGCATTTAGAATCAGCTCCACCTCAACCTTAAATTACTGCTTACATGTTAATATATCAGTATTAATGGTCCAGTAATATAGTGATACAACACTGACAGGGCACTTTTGGACAAAATAAAAATACTATATTATACTTTACATTTGATACTTTGAGTGCATTTTGAGTATTTGTATGGTGGGGTATCAATTCTCAAGCCAGCCAAAGGAACCCAACTACAAATGGAAATTCCCAATGATGAAAGATGACCTTTTAACAAAACCACACACAAAAAGACGGACACATTGACAGATGCACTCACACTCATTTCTCTCTCTCTCATGTCTGATATGTTCTCTTCCTCCTCAGCTTACACAAGCAATGCTGACATAATCCAGCCAGACCTGACTCCACTGCAGCCCAACCTGGATGATTTCATGGACATACCAGGTACTCTCTACACGTCCATCCATCTGTCATTCTGTCCGTCTGTCTGTCTGTCTGTCTGTCATTCTGTCCGTCTGTCCGTCTGTCTGTCTGTCCGTCTGTCTGTCTGTCTGTCTGTCTGTCTGTCTGTCTGTCTGTCTGTCTGTCTGTCTGTCTGTCTGTCCGTCTGTCTGTCTGTCTGTCCATCTGTCCGTCCGTCTGTCTGTCCGTCTGTCTGTCTGTCTGTCTGTCCGTCTGTCTGTCCGTCTGTCTGTCTGTTGTTTGAATGGCAGCAAATGGCACCACCTTATCAGGCTGGGGGAAAATAAAGGGATGGGCTGGGAGTTTGACAAACTGAGATTTCCTTCTGTTAAGAGTCCTGAAGAACACTGTTGTGATGATTATTATGAAAGTTTCTTTATTTTGAAGCTTTACTTTGTTTGTCTGAAGTATTTGGGGTAACACTAGATACACATACGTGTTCCTGCAAGTAATTCTGATCATTAATTAAAGCAGCCAGCCTACAAGCACCTCAAAAGCTCACTAATCCACACTAGAGGTGTTCAGTTAATGCAGGTTTAAGTAAACTTCCAACCAAATCTGTATGTTTTTGTGCAACATAAATAACTCACATTAGTGAGTTGAGTCTTATTCATTTTATGAATTAATACTTAACAGAGATACATCCCTTAGAGTGTGAGAGGCAGGGAACGTTATACGCCCGGGGCTGCTTGCCTCTTCAGAGCAAACTAGCCTGCAGGAAGACACACAGAGCTGAAGACCTTCAGACAGGATGGGGGGAAGCAGGTTGGAGTTGAGTACCTTGCTCAGGGGCAAATGGCTCTGGCTGATTTGGCCTTTGTGATAGCAATGCACCAGCCCTGTGGCTACAAGTCAGCCTTTGTTACCCACAGACAACCTGCTGCCCACTGCTGGAATATGTGTATGCTTGTGTGTGCTTGTGTGTGTGTGTGTGTGTGTGTGTGTAGCAGCTGTCTGCCTCTCTCCTGGTCACAAGGTCCAGGGAGCTTGTGAGTGTCTGTCAGAGCGACACGGCCATGAGTTTAATTTATGCCGAGTGCTTCTCTGAGGCAGCATGTAATGCCAGTGGTTTGTCCTTACTGAGAACAAAATCACACTAGTATGTATTTTCAGACTGTGCTACACGTTTCACAGTTTTACCGAGCTTGTATCATGCTTCTTGAAAAAGAGATTTTAATCCCAGTGACAATTTGAACTGGTTAAATAAGGTAAAGAAAGGAGATATTCTATTATTCTGTGTAGACTGAGGTGACAGCATATGTCATGTTGTCGAAGTTTGATTTTGCAATTAATGTTAAAAATGATGTGAAATTTGGGGAGTTAAAAAAAAGAGAATTCTTCATTTTCACATCCTCATAAAGATTAAGATTTTCTGCAATTTTCTGAAACACTTCGTATCGTTCCAGCTGTATCAGTGCTCAAACTTTCTCTGTGTGTGGTTTTCTCAGATATCTTTATGAGCTACCGGGGCCAGCCCACTGAGCAGACTGCTTTTGCTGACTGTGGCTATTATGACAGCTCAACCAGCACAGCGTTTGCTCCACTTCCCTCTCCTGTGGTAACAACTCCTCAGCTACTTATCAACACCCAGCTGGCTCAGGTACTGCTGCTGTGAACGGCTCTCCCTGCTTGTGAGATGTACTGCTGCAGAAGCATTTCATTAGCAACTTATAGTACTATTGTTTGATCAGTAAAATAGACTGAATCTTTCTTTTCCAGCCCAATCTGTCATCTGATAATTTGCCTCAGCCCTCCTCATCAAATATCCGGCCAGACCACTCCAGGCCAGACCAGGATTGCGGTGAATACCACACATCTAGCATCCTCTCAGGCACCATGCAATATGGACAGTCATACCCTGATCCACCTGTTTCTATAGCATATACCACCGGCATCGAGCAGCCGGCCTCTTCAGATGTTCCTTTTTTGTACCCACTGCCATGTCACAAGTTTGGCTACTACACAACAACCAGTGTGACCCCAACTGTCATTACTCACACCGCCTCCACCGTGGGGGCCCATGGCTCTGTGCGCCAGGCTCATGGCTACCCTCACACAGGGGACTCATACCCCCAGACTCCCTGCCACTCTCTCAGCTACCCGGCTGGCGTGTCTGACCCGGTCCACGCTACGCTGCCCTCTGTCACTGCGTCCCACTGCTTCTCAGTCCCGGAGCAGGTGGCTGCTGCTGGGGTCAGAGGGAAGCACAAGCAAAAGACAGGAGGAGTTTGGACAGTAGGTCCCCCCGTGGCTCCGTCTGGCCCCCCATCCACTACACCTACACCCACCAGTTGCCTGGCTAAGCTACTCTCCTCCAGCACCCGTGAGCGTGAGTCCATTCTTCATCTTAAACAAAAGCTATTAATTTGAAAAAGATAAGAAGGATTTCTGTCAAAAAAATGAACTAATAATGGTTTTTATGCTTTCAGGGAAGCCATCCGTTAGGATTTGATAGTACTCTAGTGACAGCCAAAGGTCAGAGATCATCATCTCCCAGCTCTTCGGTGAGCCTGTCCTTTAGTACTACAAGATAGTATCCATTCAGCAACATCAAATATGTGTGAACTAGAGGTTCATAATTATACGGTCTACAGCTATAGTGTCATTTCTATATTGTCACTGAGATTGAAGTGTCTTGTGAAACTCTAAGTTTTTTTTAGAACACTCAATTCTGATTAACTTGTCTAACATCCTGTTTAGAAAAAAAAATGAAAAGGCACTTTTAAGTAGAGAATGTGTGTTGTTTAGCAGTCACGCAGCAGCACGCATATCGGAGGAGCTTCCTCGCAGCTGCAGCATGGAGCTGGTTGGCCTGCAGGGATCCCAGCGCTGACTCCTCTGCACAGCCAGAGCGCCACCCTGGGTCACAGTGGACCCCACGCCAGCACCTCCAGAGGCTCGGCGGTATCTGCCCTGCTCACCCACGGCTCCACGCACAGCGGAACAACCCTCCTCATTCCCAAGACTGAGAAACTATCTCCTGTCCAGCTCTACGGCACGGACAGGAGCAGCTTAGCAGGTATGCCCTCAATGCTCCAAAACCCTGAAAGTGAAACAACATCTCTCTTTTTCCAAACGCTATTAGCAATCATGTATTCTTTTAATTATTGAATGATGAAATGTTTGTTGTCAAGGAATACCTGGGGACATTGACATGCTAAGCAATCGTTTGATGACACCAAAATGTTGTATGCTTGTATGCAAAAACAAGATCATAGATGAAGGGGCTGTGCAATAAATATGCAGTTGCAAAAAACAAATGTGCAGCAGACAAATGATGAATGTTTTTTAAACCAAAATACAGTCCCAAAAATAAGCCTGACTAACTGAGCGCCGCCGAATAAATGATGAATTATTTTTTTAATTCCTTCATTAATCTGCAGCCCAAAATATAAAAAAGTCACTCTTCTTAATTTGGACAATGCTCATGCTCTATTATATATGGAGCCTCCAAATGTTATCAGACAAGGAAAAGTTCAGTGGTGCAAGAAGTATTCAGAGCCAATACAACTATGTAAAAATATTCAATTAGAAGTAAAAGTCTTGCAGTCGAAATCCTCTTTGGGTCTCAGATCGTTATTTAAATGAAACCATGTGAGAAGTTTAGAGAGGAAATGTCTTTTGCTGGAACTGCTAACACCTCATACATATCAGAAATGTGGCAAAAGCCTCAACCAGACACAGTATTTTGGAAAAGGGTCTCAAGCCAAATGATTAGGAACTACTGGTGTAATCTTAACCATGTGTTGTATTTTCTAAGCTTATGTTTTATTATATGTACAATCTGTCTGAAAAGCAGCAACTACTAACTAAAGCTGTCACATACAGTTATGGGAGTAAAAAGCACAATATTTCCCTCTGGAATGTAGTGAAGTAAAGCAACAAAGTAAGATACAATGGAAAAAATATATGTGAAAACATTTTAGATGGGGTGCTGATGGAGCAGTGGCTAAGACACATGCCTTTGGTGTGAGAGACCCGGGTTCAATTCCCACTGGGACACATTCACCAATGTGTCCCTGGGACACATTCACCAATGTGTCCCTGAGCAAGACACTTAACCCTAGTTGCTCCAGAGGCGTGCGACCTCTAATATATATAGCAATTGTAAGTCGCTTTGGATAAAAGCGTCAGCTAAACAAATGAATGTAATGTAGATATGAGCTTTGTTTGGCTGCTAGTGGAGATGATGAATTCTACACTGGCATTACTGATACTCAGTAATGTATTCATAACAAATGCAAGTACACAGCTGTCTTTATTTACAACAACGGTGAATTACTCTGAAACGGCTAGGGCGCCAAATCACACACATAAACAAATCTTGCATAATTTTGCTTTAGCTGATGACATTACCTATTTGTGTATTCAGTTAATATTTTTGACTTATCTGAAGATGTTTCGCTACATTTTGTCAGTGTGGGAACTCCATAGTTATCACCCAGCATAGTGCGTATGTAAAAAATTTTCTTCCAGATGATACGGTTCCTTCTTATTTTCTCATCAATTGGGGGTCATACAGCAAAAACGTAGGCCAAATAAAGCTTGCTGTAGAAGTTTAAACTTGCATCCAAGTATGCCAACATCCACATCCACTGTATAAAGTTTTATTGCCAATATAATTTTTTGATTTAAAGCGGAGCATTGAAATGCATAGAGTTTGAGGGGCATTTTAGTAAATGATGGAGATAAGTGCTTTGTGCATGGGAACATGTGTCATCTAATTCCCCAGCATATGTAATGAATAAATATTGTTATCTGTCTTTCTTTAAGTTAATTTTCCAGGACATCCAGGCAAAACGTCACCACCAAACTTTTTAGATAAAGCCTCCAACCCCGAGTCCTCACACTCAGGTTTCTCAGGACACGGAAAGATAGAATCAAGTAAGGTAGGACACACCATCTCGTTTCATTTACAGATACTGTATATCTATGTTTTTACATAGTACAGCATCGTATTGAATAAAACAATGTTGTCCTTGTTGTTGTCTGTGAAGATTCTCATTCATCCAGGTCATAGTTATCAAAGGAAGTTTTAAATCAAGAGCAGCTAGACTTGGTTGAAGATACAGGAAAACATGTCGCTTCTCATTCAAGAGGCTTCCTCGGTTCTGACAGGCAGGGTGGCCCCTTGATAACAACCCCTCAGAGGTTAAATACCTGGGACTCTCTATCACTCAGTTCTTGGATGAGAAGCCAAACATCTTCCAGTATCTTCGACCAAGTCCATCTGCCCTTGATTTAACCTTCCTTGGAAGTTCTTGTTGAGTGCTAAATAAGTGAAAGATGAATTTTGTAGGAAACTGATGGCTGACCCATTATATGTGAATCTGGGTGGGAAATGTAATGGGCATGTTTCTATGCTGTGTTATCTGCAGCAAACAGAAACCAGGAGGATAACTCACATCTCGGCTGAGCAGAAGAGGCGTTTCAACATCAAACTGGGATTTGACACTTTACATAATCTTGTGACAACGCTCAGCTCTCAGCCAAGCATAAAGGTACTGTGAAAAGACGTGCAGCTGCATTTGAGATAGATGTGCTGAAAGGTGGGGGCGGAGAGCAGCACCAAAGAGCAGTTGACTTGACGCACAGTTTAACTGGAAAACTATATGAGATGTAAATGCAGCTAATGAAAACATTTCTATGAACGTAACCGCAGTAATATTGAATATTGGTGAACAAATGTGGTGTATTGTTGACATGAGGTGATCCCTGCTGTGTCCTGCTGGCACAGATCAGCAAAGCCACCACACTGCAGAAGACCGCTGAGTACATCAGTAAGATGCAGCAGGAGAGAGGTCAGCTGCACGAGGAGGCTCAGAGACTCAGGGAGGAGATCCAGCTCCTGAACTCTGCCATCAAGTAAGACTTTTAACTAGGCTTGACTTCTAAGTGTGTGTGTGTGTACGTGTGTGTGTGTGTGTGTGTGCAGGCATGTGAGTGCATGAAAATCCACCAAAATTGGATTGATATTTTGGTTTTAATTTATATATATATATATTAAATGATAGGTTGACTTTTTTTTAACTGGATTTTTCTTCCCATCACATCCATTGGAATTGCACTAGGATAGGGCTCTCTTAATGGCCAGTATGAACAGTAGTAATGATTACAGCAAGCAAATACTGTTTCAGTGTACATATGAGCACCTGACTTGTTTTGAGACAGTCATAAAAATTTTGAACCTTCCCTTTAAAATTGGTCTTTCCCTGCTGATGACCCAGTGTGTCTCTTCATGCAGTGCGTGCCAGCAGCAGCTTCCAGCCACTGGTGTGCCCATTACACGGCAGCGCTTTGACCACATGAGGCAGAAGTTCAGAGAGTATGTCCAGGCCCAGACACTGCAAAACTGGAAGTTTTGGATCGTATCCTTGTGAATGTTAATCTGCCAAAGGTTAATTAGAACATCTCGCTGCCACAAGCTTGAAAAACGTACTCACTCTGCATGAAAGTTTGACTAGAATATGATCCAGCGTTGCGGACTAAATGTACCCATTTATTCCTGTGTGAGCTTCTTATGTTTCTGTACTTTGGAGCAGTTGGCTGCAACATAAACCGGCTTCTTCAGACTTTGGAAGAATATCAAATTATATTTTATTGCCTAAACCTTTTTCTTTCAATCCAAATTAACTAATTACAAAAAATCTGGACGGATACAGTGGGTAGTGGTTTTAAAGTGTTGCAGGGAAAATCCCCTGAGCTTTTACTTTGGTGCAGTACATATAGTGAGTGCCCAAAACCTTGTCTTTGTGCAGATTTCAGTAAAATTAGGAGTTTTAATTCATAAAAAGCATATTGTCCATCTGGGGCATCTCAGTGTAATCAGCTGGATGAAATAAAAGCCTGTGTGTTGCAAATGTCAGTTGCATTAAAAATTTTGCAATATTAATCCATAACTCTTTCCTTAATAGTCACATAATCTATTAGTGCTGCCCTTATCTTGCAGGCAAGATGAGAAGATTGGATTATGATTTTATCATGTTTGTGTGTTGCACAAAAACACCTTGAGGGTGTTTTCTTTCCATGAATATTAAGGTATTTTCTATGGTTCCTCAAGAGAGTGTGCATTTCTCTAACTGCTGATATTTGAAATTGAAAACTCCAAGTGGATCTTTTTGTCTTTACATAGAGGCAAGACAGCAGCATTTACCTAATGTTTGACTCCATAGACAGGGCTGTTCAACAAAGTTTTTTGTCGACAACTACTTTACTGCTGCTTCCAAAGTGAGCCATTCACTGGCACTGTAATGACTGAAAAAACATTAAAGAATAAGTCATATTATATATTTTCTTATTGTGAACAAATCCTATGAAAAAAAAAACAACAACAATGAATTGATTCTACTAGTCTGTGTCTGATAAATCTTAATCCTCTGAGCCATACTGTACTATACTATAATACTATAACATACTAAAAAAGTACATAAATGAGCCACACTGTTTGACTGGATGGCATGTTCTTTCATTACAGTGAAAATGCACATTGAAGTTTTTTCGTTGATCACATACACCGTCCTGCTACTGTAACTAATCACTAGTACACCTAATCTGTTTTAATCCAGAGCTGGAAATAGTCACCAATTCACTATTTACTCCTGTACCATTTGCAAAAAAGTACAGTGCCCTGCTATTTTAGGAAATGACTGAGCCTTTTAAAAAGATGAAACTAGATATCTATGTCCTGTTTTTAACGATTTATGTCTGCAGTATGAACCAATAAGCTTGGGACTGAGTGCCACTTACAGGTGGGAAAGTCGAAAAGCATTGAAAGACCAACACATTCTTGGTTTAGTTTTTTTGTTTGGAGGATTTGTTAACAACATGGAAGTAGTAGAATAACACAAGCCTTTAAACACTATAAAGCACTCTGCTATGGACATCATTTGAAACAAAATGCAATCCTTAATGACAGATGAAGAGTATTCATGAACTCTAGCGTGTCGTATTTGAATGAGCCAGGTTTCTTTCCTCAAAGCAGTGTCAGTTCAGCATCATCATCGAGCCGCTGTTTGAGTCCTATAATGGAATGGTGTCCACTGCCAGTGTGGAGGACCTGTGTCGATCCACTCTGTCCTGGCTGGACCAACACTGTTCCCTGCCTGCCCTAAGACCCAGTGAGTCCCGTACAACACGTTCTTTAATGCAGACTTATGTTCTTACAGCAACTCTACATAGTTTGATAGTATTCCTATCATGCCATATTTGTCTCATTGTACTTTTCCATCAGCTGTAATATGTGTTCTCTGTGTCCCCCCAGTGGTTCTGAGTTCACTCCGTCTCCTGAGTACCACCACAGCCATCCTGACAGACCCCAGCCTGCTGCCGGAGCAGGCCACCCTCGCTGTCACCCAGGGCGACCCCGCTGCTGTCCTGGACCACTCCTTACAGCCCACCACTCGCGACGATATACACCCCATGTGACTGCGAGGAACAGACTCAATAGAAACTTAACTGGAATCCACCACAATGTACAAGTCAGAGGAGAGCCAGTGCAATGATTTTTAAAGACTCAACACTCAGCTCCAGGAATTTTTGTAATAACGCACAATGACATTCCAATAAAACCCACAAGCTGCAAAAAGATAATAGTCCATTACAACCAGAGCCATATGTCATCTATGCTGAAATTCTGATCACGGTGTGACACTTGTAATTATTTCAGAGCCCCAGAATCATTTTCTTTTGTGAAGCAGAAGTTCAGATGAGTGGAAGGAGATGTCAGTCACTGTGATCTTGAATGAATTGCTTCATTTTCTGTTTAAATAATTTGGTAACATCAGTTGACAACTTCATTTATTCTCCATTCACATCTCAGGTTTTCTTTTCTGTGCATAATATATTACCTTCAATTACTGATGTTTATTCAGCGCAGTTTGTCTTACACATTTATCTTACATTGTATTGGCTATGAAAATGAACAGCTTTTGTTGGCAGGGGTTATTTCAGGATATTAAGTTTATTGGGTCTCAAAGTGGAGTCTGAGGACCACCATGGCTCCCAAGGGTCTACAGTAAAATGAAAGTTTGTTATGTTTGGTACATTATCTCTGTAATTTTTTGCAATTTTATACAAAAATCATAACAAGAAACATCTCTCCTTGGAACCGGAGCAAACGTTCACTAAACTATAAGTTATGTCAAAGTCCCACGCAGCTAATATGATTTGCCATCACAGCTTACCACACCTGGGGCATAGTAAAACACCACACACAGTTTATAGAAGAACATTACACCTGAATACACTGATGCACAGGTCTTGTGAGAGTAGGAAAAGCGTTGGTGTTACTAACAGTAAGGACGGCTCAGTTATAAAAGTGTCATGACAGTGAGCCAGTATGCACAGTACCAGGACCCTGAGACCAAAGCAGCCAAATAGAATTCAGCCACCATTTATTTTATTATTGTGACATGTCAAACTGTCATCCCGGAAAGAAGCCATTTGATGGCCTTTAAAGGATAAAACAGAAAGTGAACTGCCCCGCTGTCTTGCACACAGCAATACTGGGAGAATCACCACGCTAGGTGACGCTATCCCAGTACGCTTGACTACAGTCCGTCTGGGCTGCGGACGCTCCTCCGGCCCGACAGAGGGCGCCGTGCTGCAGGCGAGCCCGGAGAAGCGCAGTGTGTGTGGGGGTTTTTTGTTCCCAGATCTCGGTGCGCTGTCCACTTCAGCACCACAAGCCGAGCGGAGGCAGCGGGGCTAGCTAACGCTGAAGAGGAGGGACTGAAGACGCGGCTCAACATCAGCACCAGCAACCGACCCGAGTCCCAAACACAGAGAATACTGAAACGTACCCACCGCTGTCCGCCAGAAAATACGACACGAGCGAGCCAAACGCCTGCAGGAAAAGGTAAGAGTTTTCGAAGAGGCTCAAATAGGATGAAGTTGTTGTCGGCAGGGATAATAACGGGCATCGCTGAAGAGGAACACGCTCCCCTTCCCTTCCTGGTTCATAAATACTGTATGGACGTAATAAGGCGTTGTTTACGTTAGCTTCTTCATGTTCTGCTGGTGTCTCGCATTCAGCCTACGGTTAGTTTATTAGAGAGAAAGAGGGACGCTTAAGTAATGATAACGGGCTGCACGGAGACCGTGTTGTGTGCTGGGCAGCCTCTCCTCGCTTTGCAGATGGTGGTGTTTTATAACTCGTCGATTTCCGTTGCTACGCTGTGGCCAGCTGCTGCTTCTTTATGCCCCCCTGTCCTAGCTGCGGGACATGTAATACCCCCGTCACTCCTCTGATATTGTTGCCGTTTATGTGTGTGGTAAAAACCGCCTCCACTGCAGTTTACACACCGTGTTCGCTTGCGGGATTAACGCGGTAGTTCATATATTTATGTAGGCTAGTTATACGGAATAGGGTTCTCTAAAAGTAGCTGAAATTTGAACGGACTTTTGTTCACAGCGGTTGTTAATTATCAAGAGCTGGATAGTCTGCTCATTGGCATTGAACAGGTTATGAGTGATTTTTATAGTTTAATATAGACAGTTACTTTATCCGTTTTTTTCTTAAGTAAATCCTTTAAATCAGACTACTAACTGTACCTGTTTTAAACGACTCACAGAGCATGAATATTGGCGATGTTGCAGTTGACAGGGTTCAGCTGGTGTCATTTGATTGACAACTGTGTGAATCCTCTCATCCAGCCTTGGTGCCCTAAAGTCTCAGGTCTCATGAGAAACCAGAGTGTAAATTGTTTGTAAATACTGTATTTCCTAGTGCTCAAAACACTGGTGCCCTGAGGGAATGTTGTTGTTGTTGTTGTTGTTGTTTTTTACAGCTTTACTTCAAAACATTGATCTGTGAAGAAAGAAGAGCAGATCTTATAGGGAGTAATTAAATAAGGATCACATTTTAATTTAGCTTAACTTAACCCGTTGGCTGTAGTGGCTTTTGCAGTCTTGTAAGATCCCTTAGACATCAATATATAATAACACATATCAAAACGAATGTATAAGCAGAGTATAATATTTTATTTGAATATTACAGAAATAGTGACTCTGACCTCTCTCCTAATACATGGAATAGTACACACACTGTTTTGATACTAGAACTGTAAATGATTAGTTGATTAATCCATTTTTTCCCTTTGCAACGATTGAATCAGCAGTTATTTTGATAATTAATGGTGATGTTTCCAGCTTCCCACATGTGAGGATTTGCTGCTTTTTTTCTTCACTGTAAATGAAAATAATTTTGAATTTGGGCCGTTGGTTGGACAAGCTATTTGAAGATGTTACCTTGGGTTTAGGAAAATTGTGGTGGGCATTTTTTGCTCTTTTCTGACATTTTATAAGCCAAAGAATTCACTGATTGAAAAAAGGATTAGCAGATTAATCAATGCTGAAAATAGTCATTCATGTTCAGCCCTTACTGATGACAAAAACTCACAATCCATCACACTGCTGCAAATTACATTACAACATACAGCTGTGTGACAAAATGTACCAATGCCTACTTCAGTCCATGCCGACACGGCGAATGACTGTTAGGCCGAGTCCTTTTGAACACCCCATGAATCAGTAATCAGTGATCAGCTTGTGACATGCTGCTTGGTTAAAAAGGAAAAGTCAGCAGCAGCTGCGTGAGTGACAGGACAGTGACAGTGCTGACCAAATACTCAGTGTCATGGGACTTGAGCACCACTGTGCTGTTCTGGGCAAACGAAAATACCGAGTGTATCTTGGAAAGCAGTCTTCCATTTTGTCCGCTGCTGTTGGCGAGATAGGCCCGGGTGAGGTAAGAGGCTGATAGAGGGATTAGCTTGTATTAGGATGTGGCTGCTCATGGAGGTGTGAGAGAAATGTCAGTCACTCTCGCGCTATCTTCCTCTGCCGTCTGCCTCTCAGCTTCTTTCTCCACAAAGCATCTGTCTCCTGCCTGCTTTACATTCACATTGTTCCTAGATGAGCAGCGATACCCCCCCACTCCCACCTCTCCTCACCACCACCACCAAGACTCTGCAGCATCTCAGTAGTTCTCCTCGCCACATGCAGCCTCTGTCAGTGCGTGCCTCCATGCGCTCTCCTCTCCTCTCATCCCCCTGGCAGACACACACTGCTCCTCCTCCTGTCCTACTTCCTCCTTCTTCAGCTCTCCTGAAGGGCGAAGCCGTTGTCGGTGAAGCCTCGAGTGGGGGGGGCGCGGTGGCAGAGGAAGGATGGATGGAACGGTAGTTTATATCAGGCTAAAGTGTTTCCGGCAGGTGTCAAAGCACAACAGCCAGACATCGTCTCAGGATGTGGTCTGATAGAAATTGCTGCATTGTTAGAGCGCAGCAGGGGTGACGGTGCTTATTCAAACAAAGCCATGCCAAATAGACTCGGATTTGCATGGACAGGAAAGTCTGTCTGAAATGTTACTTTCCGATGCTCCTTGAATCTGTACTTCAGTTGCCGGGGCACAGCGTATGGCTTCACTGCAGGTGGTAATGCCTTTATGTTTTATTTAAAAGGCGTGTCAGTCTGTGCTCCTGTCTCAAATCCAGATCCACCGAGGGAGAACTTCTAGCCACTAAGTTTTACTGCTGTATCATTTGAATGTGAGGCATCCTTTAAAGGAAGTTGTGTTTTATTTATTTTGGCCATTTTTAAGCAATTTTACTACATTGATCAGAGTAGGAGATTGAACAAGACTTTGCACCAGCAATGGGAAATTACACCCCCTCAACATTTATTACAAAGATATTTGAGATATTTTATACTAAAAAGAAGCTTAAATGTGACAAATGAAATTACACCATGTTTTTTTTGTTCTGTCAGTTGTTTCTGCAGTGCTGGTAAAAAAATATTTTGTCAGGTAGTGTTTATTTTATTATTTTGCATCATTTTGTTACACTGTATTTAGCCACATTGTGTTCATGATTGATGGTTGTGATAATGACTCGCTGTAAGTGATGTCTTACAGATACATGCTTGAAGCAAATAAGTGTGTGTTATTAACAAACTTAATTCCCGCTATTAGCTCTCAAGTACAGTAAATCAAACAAAACCCGACTAAAGACAGGCCTGGCTTTTACAACAAGGCTACATTAAGGAAGAAACGTCAGATAATAATATTACAAATTGGTAGTGGGGTTTACAAACTGGATATGAATGATTTTGAGATCACTTATTTTTTTCCATTCACTTGTTAAACTAGAACTCTAATTAAGTTTTTTCTAAATGTTTCATGTTTTTACTTACCTAACTTAAAGTATAGGTTAACAAATAGTCAAACAATAGTCAAATATCTGTGAAAAATGAATTCCCATGTTAATCTAAAGTTAATATGAGACTTCAGCAGTCTGAGTTCGACAAATCCAATGGGTGTTTTCTAAAGTTATGATTTTATCAGTACCAAATGAGGGAATTTTGTACTAAACAGAATGTAATATTAGAAGATTCCCACTTGATTTGTGTAACTCAGACTGCTGAAGTGAACATTTTTGCTCAGAAAGATGACTGTGGATTTTCCTGTACATTAGAAGTGAAACTGTGAAACTATAGTGGGATCTCTTAATGCCCATGTGAATGAACAGGGGGAATAATCAGCAAGCGAAACCTGTTTCAGTGTACACACTGTGTGGTCATCTGACTTGAAAATTTGTGAACCTACCCTTTTATAGCAATAAAAACAAGTCAAACAATAATGACTTGCACATAATTCACAGCCCTGATTCCCCATGACGATAGCATCTTTGTAGCCATCAAGATTCATACAAACAGGCTGAAACATCAACAAGTCATTTTACAATTTCACCTCCTGTAACCTCCAACCGTCTTGAACTCGGAGAGTTATTAGCAGCTGGACCCTGGACTGCATATAGATCGACTCTACGCTGCGCTCCTTCAGAGGCTGTTATGTGCT